CTTACTATTTTTCTAAGGGCAAAAATCGTCCTCTACACGATGGTAAAAACCGTAGATCGCTAGGACTTTTCCATAAAAAGTTATTCGAAAAACGCCACTCTGCACTGTATTTATGGATCGATAGTAGATCCTCTATCATGGAAATCTAAAAAAGCTCAAAAGGCATCAATAATAAAAATTTCAAACAACTCGCTTTTCCTGCCTCACGCGTCTCCAATGAAACATTTGTAAAACCGTGACAGAAGATCAGAAATTCAATAAATCATACTGTTTTCGAAAGTAAATGACGAGAGCTATCTAACCATGCACAAATCTCACAATCGAATTTTTGGACGAAAATCGCGTTTTCTGAGTAGTGGAGAGCGGCGGGAGGCAGCTTGACAAGTAAACAACCAACAGCCAATGAATAGTTTTCTGTATTTCGGAATTTTACAATTCATAAACTTTTAAATTGATTTTTTCGTTTTTCTTGGCCATAATTTCCCTTTGGATTTTGAGATGCTAATTATCCAATAAATTCTCGTCCCGAATTGTCTTAGTGTCTCCTGTGTTAAGTAATTAATATAGTAAAGTGTCGCAACACGAATAGTTCGATGGCCACTTTTAGCTATTTATTGTTTCAATATTTCTTTATTATAATCATAAGAATCTTACTTGAAGCGCGTGAAATTCTCTATCAAATGATATGTACAGTGGAGTGATCAACCAGAAAATTAATGGACATTATAAACACGAACGATGTTGAGCCACCGGTTTGCTGAGATGCTACCAAGTATTTGGGATCTGAGACTATCCTATATGTCATTTTGTAGCCCATTAAATTCTCTGTCGAATGGTGTGTAATAGTTGATATTTGGTCTAGGGGAAAGGGGTTGAGTAATGTAAATGCTTTGAGTAAAGGTCATTTAATGAGGGAAGAATTTTTTTTGCTAAAATGTTTCCAGGGGCGCTGAAAAGGATTTTAAGGTCTAGAAATATGTTAGCGTTGATCACGATCAAAACCTGGATCAGATTAGTTAACGTAGGACTGATCTGAGCGTGGGGCGAGTTTGCAGTTATCGTCCCCCGTGGTTTTAACATGAAAATATCATCCGTGCCATTTTTCATATTTTCCTCTTAAAAACACAACCTTTTTCACCAAAAGATACTTTTCTAACAACAAAAATTCCCCTATCTCATTCTTTTTGTTTTAACTCAAGGAACAAAAAATCTCACGGAAGATTTTGACACAAAAAATGAAAGCTTATCTCTCAAATCACTATCAATGAGGTACTATTGTGCTGTGACAGAGAAAATTTTGTGTTGGAAACAAAAACACATTTTAAGGTTTCGACTCTTCCAAGATTTTTAAGACTGAATCCGAGGTAAATCGATGTGTGGTAGCGACATGCGAATTAATGCATTGGTTTAAGCTTTAATCTTGAACCAGAACGAAATCGAGAATATAAATTCTCATTACATCATTCTGAAACTTAAACTATCAAAACACAAAATCAATCCTTGCGCGAAGCTAGGATCGAACACACGAACTTGATCTTTGCAGACGAACTGCAAAAGTCAACCTCGCTATTCTTTTCTATATTCTGCACAATGATTGAAGTTGTGCAATGACTCTATGTTATCCTTCAATGTGTATTTTTTTTATTGTGTTTTTGTGTTTTGTTTTTGGTTTAAGCTTTAATCTTGAACCAGAACGAAATCGAGAATATAAATTTCCATTACATCATTCTGAAACTTAAATTACCAAAAAACTTAAACTATCAAAGAACTAATTAATTAATGCATTTCTTTGGAAAATGGTCAATGCTTGAATGGAATTCAGCCATACATTCATTCAACATTCAATGAAGAACTCTCGACCATAAAAGCTTTTGCAAATTTTCTCTATCACAGCACAAAAGTACCTCACTGATGGCGATTTGAGAGATAAGCTTTCGTTTTTTGGTGTCAAAATGTTCCGGGAGATTCTTTTGTGTCGATCTAATAATAACTGTACGTGTTTTGTGTATACAGTCAGTTTTATTGTTTTTTACTCATTATTTAAATATTTGCAGTATAACTTCCGTAATTTCTTGCGTGTTTCTGTGTTTCATTGTTTATTTGTATAGTTAGGTCGATGTAAGTATTTTAGCTATTTTTGTATATTTCTCATTTGTTTCGTGTAGATGGAAGCAGGTAGACAGATTCATCTCACTAAAAACTCGCTAAATTTTATTGCTGATTGTATTAAAAATAATTTTTCCCTGCTAAAACGTCAAACAATTCCAACATTCATAAAGCGTGCGAGTTCATTCGAAAAATGAGAAAAACATTTCTATCAAACGTTACGTTGATAATGTTCTCGGTGGTAATGAGAAAGAAGGTGTTACGCTCGGTGATCTAAGTTTGGTCGCTGGCGAAGATGTGGCTGAACTTGTTATGTGTTATTACAAAAATCGTTTTGTTGGTGCTACACGAACGGTGCATGCAGGGTTAAGTAAGTGAAACTTTAGGTTGAGTGAAGTTTTGAAAAAATGGATACTTTGGAGCAAAATAAGAGCACTAACTCGAAACTGAAGTTTCTCCAAAGTGAAGGGTTAATATGATTAAATAGAACTTGACATTTTTGAGTCCCGTTTGTATAATTTAGACAAAATGTATTGTGTATAAAATGTATAAAATTATTATTATTATTTATAAAACTATTATGTATAAAATGTATATCTGAAAATCGTATCGTCGATGTGATCAAATCAAGTGGCGAAAATGGAATGGTAAAACCTGAATTTTCGAACAAAAATCCGAACAAGATAATCCAAGCTAAAGCAATAATGGAAAGAGTACAAGTTGATCTGGTCGATTTAAGCTAAAAACCTGTTCTTCATGGTGGTCAACAGTGGTAAGTACATTGATCCGTCTGTGTATAGTTTTTACTGACTTATCGAACTAATTGTATTTTGCAAAGCAAAGCAATCTTTTATTGTTTTAATAATTATGTTCTGGTGGTACTAGATATTTTTTCACAATACTTCATCCATTAACAACAAAAAGTGCCGGTAGGTGAAAAAGCATTTACACGCCGAATGGAGTCAAGAATAAGAAAAACGTGAATGCTCGATGTGTTCAGAGCCTTCCACTTGCACGTCCGAAAAATAATAAAATGTCCGTCGAAGCTCAGGGTATTCTCCGACTTTTTGCATCATTCGCCGACTTGTTTTCATCGTCATCATTACATTATTCTGTTTTAGGGTAGGTTGCTGGCAGTTGAGCAAAATATTTGCGGAGAACGGTAATCCGAAAATTATTCAGACAGATTGTGGAATAGAATTTCTCGATGCGTTGACTGAATTATGCAAAGAACGAGGCTTGTGTCAAATCCGAAGTAGTGCATATCATCCTGAATCACAGGGAAAAGTAAGAGCTGTGAATGCATACATGTATTGACATTAATACAAGAAGTATTTACAGGTGGAACGTATCAATCCAACGCGGAAATCAAAACTAATCTTTGACATTTTGGTTAATAATGAAACAAACTGGCTAATTAAACTGCCATCATATGCGGAAACGTATAACACGACAAATACAATAAGTTGTTGGATGCTGATGAGTGTGAAGGATTTTACCAAGCTACGAATGGACGTCATCGAGAACTCGCTGTACCCGCACTTGAGAAAAGTAAAATACCGGTTTACTTTTTTATTGAACCGCCTGTAGGTTAATTTATGAAGACAAAGCAAAAAAATACGAAAGTCTCATTGAATTTTCATGTATTAAAAAAGCTGCTGCGAAAACCAAGTCTTCCGGATGTTTTAGACGCACAAAAGAAAAGCGGAACAAAATTAGTGATTGCCTATCGCCTTCATTGTGAACCAGGGACGTTGGATATCATTGAACTAGTTCGAAATGGAGATTTTGGAGATCCTACAATTTTCTCATTAACATTTATCGAAAGAAAATCATCGAGCGGAATTAGGTAAGGAATAAAAAATAGATAGATAGAAACTGTTAAATGTCATGTTACTGTTTTAGGATTCGATTCAGGATCGATTCCCGAGAAGGAAATTTATCCTATTAAGTAAGTAGGGTTATTTTTGTTAAAACGACTTCTTTTTTCCTCTACTTTTGTACATTTGTAACGATGAAAATTTTTCGATTTTACTGAAGCCAGATCGTTATCATAAGTTATATCGCTGAGAACTGGCCTCCGTCTCGTTTATGTACAAAATACCTAGTTGGGTGTCGCTCCTCTGCTACGAAAACAACCCCTTCTCATGGGTCTCTTTTAAATGAACCTTGAAACGGAAAGATTCTAACGGAGGTATTCCACGAGGTTCTTTTATTGATTGAAATGGTGCCCAAACGCGTGTAAACAACCAAATAAAGGAAACGCGTTTCGTGTATCGATTAAACGGCTAAAAATCGCGTTTTGAAGCATCAATTGAACGTTTTTCTGTTATTTCATCATTTACATGCGTTTGGACACCGTTTCAGTCGATAAAATAGCCCATGGATATGCATCAGTAAACCGAAACTGAAAATAATAATAGACTTTTGTAAAAAAGTTTTAAAATCTGAAGTATAGTCGCAGAAAATATTCTTTTCAGTTATGAATTGATCTCGGTTATCCACAACGTTTTGTTTACCCATCATGTATGTTTCAGTTTTGTGTTTAAAAGCCAAATTTCTCCTTTTTGTGGTCTTCAAAGTTTTTCTAGGAAATCTTTTGCAATTTGAGGTAGACTGTATTACGAAGGAAATTTTTTCTTTAACATAAGATCTTCTAAATGTCGCCAAGGTTAAACTAGTAAAACTTTTTTATCAAATATACAGGTTTTAGGAACCGAAATCAACTCACAATTGAACATACTCTACATTCAAGTGTGCTAATTCAGCAATAAAATAAATTTCGGTTTTGATTATGTCAGTTTCGGTTATAATCGAAAATGCCGATCGCGGCATTTGGGGAGGAGGGAGTGTAAGATATTTTGGTTTTAGCCGACGGCTGTCATTAGGCCGCTGTTTATTGATAAATCTAGAAGGAGTTTCAAGTAGGTAGGCAGCGTCGCTATTAATTGACTTTGATCTCTTTTGCTGGTTTTCGTTTAGCGCTGTTCGAAATCTATATGGTATGGAACCAATTGAAGTTTCAGCTATTGGCTTAAAAGCTCCTAGTTCTACGAGAAGTTTATAGTGATTCAAACAGCCCAAACTTTAATTTCGTAATCAAGCGATTATTTCAAAATTAATCTGAGGCGGAGTAATTTACATTTTATTAGAACACCCAGACAAAACACTCCGTTTTTTGAAATTTCTTAATGACCTCTGTTTTTACTATACATTTTTGTCAGCTTAATCAATCAAGTTCAAAGTTTTTTGGTAGTAGACTCGTTAATACCCACCGCCGATATAAATTTCATCCGTAAGCATTGAATTCATCTGACAAACGGCTTGGGTACCAGCACTCAAATCAGTCAGTGTTACTGCAGATGCGACTGGATAGGGCTATATGCTGCTGACAATCATTGGGTACGATATTAAATTTTTTATTAACATTAGGCTACATTGGGATAACTGGTAAGCTGCTGGACGAATAGAGATAAGCATATGACACAATACACATGTTGATTTAAGGTATCGAAATTTTAATCATAATGATTTAAAAATAAATGTCGGGACGACTCTTCTTGCAATCTTAATGTTAGTTACTCAAATAACGATGATGCAAAACAAATGAAGGCGGACGCATTTGACTACCAATGTTTCTATTCGGACTTTTTCTAAAATCCCTATATGGTATCCCAACAAAAGGTAAAAATATGAGTGCAAAAATATAAATCTTTGTAAAAATAGAGATTGGCTGTATAGCATAGCATAGTCAACACTATATTCTCGTTGATAATCGTAATTTTAGTCTTATGTAACGCTTAGTTCACCCACTAATTAACTGTACATTTGTCTTTTAACCCTACGCAGACCCTCATGTTCTTTCAGTACTTTTGCTCTTTTTCTGTAGCTCAAGCTGTATCATTTTATCTGTACCTTCTCAACAATTAGTGCTTGTATCGTTATTTTCGTTTACACTGACATAATTTATTATGATGTCGATATATACCAGACATTTTCTTTTCTACATGTACATGTGTTCTTATCATTCGATGCAAAATTTTTTCTTTCTTCATTGAAAAGCATAACATTAACTTCATATGCTTTTAAGTGATAAAGCAAAATAACGCACAGATAAAACATAAGGATTATATAAACGTTAAAAAGTTGACTCATATAGTTTTTTAAACATAAGGTTACACTGTTAATAGTATGAATGATCAAAATAAAGTAATTAATGTTTTAATAGCAACTGAATATCAGTCCATGATTGATGTTATCAAATCATGCGTGAATCAATTTTCAAATAACTTGCAATTTAATTATGTTAATCCGAATGATATATCACAGTTACATCAATATTTTCCAAGTGCTCATATTATTTTTGGTGAACCATTAACATTTATACCTTTTATAAATCAATCTTTTACAACAAATTTAAAATGGTTCCAATCAACGTATGCTGGTGTTGATGCCATCGTGAAAAAATCAAAAAATAATAACTACATTGTAACACGAGCTCCTGTTTTTGGTCAACATATGTCTGAATATTGTCTGGGTCACATTATTTCGCATGAACGACATTTTCCTTTATTACGTGAAGCACAATTGAATAAACAATGGCTAACATGTTCTTATCGATTGCTATCCAGTTTACGTGTTGGTATAATGGGTGCAAGTGGTGAAATAGGACAATCATTAGCACGTACATGTAAACATTTTGGTATGTACGTTAAAGGATTAGCTAATTCACAACAAAACACAAATGAATTTGTTGATAAATGGTACCAGAGTATTCCAACAACTGCAACATTTGGTATTCCTCGTGAATTTTTAATTAATCTTGACTACTTAATATCAACTTTGCCATCAACATCACAAACAAAAAATATGTTATCTGGTGACGTCCTGTCAGTATGTAATGGTTCAAATACGGTGTTTATTAATATTGGTAGAGGTGATATTATTGACGAACAATCATTAGTCAATGCATTAAATAACAATTATATCACACATGCTATTTTAGATGTATTTATTGATGAACCATTACCTGTAACATCTAGATTATATGATTTAGGTACACACAAGATACAAATAACACCACATATTAGCGCATCAAGCTCAGTTGCTTCATATGATATTGCACAAATATTTATTCGGAATTTAAAACGATATATAAATGGTGAATCATTGCTGTTTGTTGTAGACTGGAAAAAAGGTTATTAAACATGCGCTCGATTACTGATCTTTAGTTATAATAAATGGTGGTGGGTTAAATGACCATGTCGCGAACTCGCCTTCCACAAAGAAGATATATGAAAAACGTTTTGACATAATGTAGTAGAAATAGTAGTCACAGTGCAAAAATACTTACTCATAATTTGAAGTTTATTCATTTTAAATTTTGTTTTATGATGATGTTCAAAAGAGATATAGCATAATATAACTAAAAACTGTGAAGTCAAATCAAATTAAGCTCATCGTATATAGTCCATAATATAAAAGAAAAAAGTAATAGCTATTCTCTTGGTTTAGAAGAATCAGACAATAATAATGCAATCGCTCAAGCAAATAAAAAGTGTCCAGTATTAGGCAACCCTACCTAGGTAACCCGATCCAATACCCGATTCTGGATATTAGATTTACCACATGTCCAAGTAAGACGTCTTGTGGCGTATCTAGATATATTTTTATGGTGTTGCCCAATACCATAATAAAATAACTGGATATTTTCATATACGATTTTTTGCTTGGGCGTAAAAGAGAAAGGTGAGAGAAGAGGTAGAGTAAGGTGGGATACTTCGAACGGTGTTTTTTAGAAATTATCGTATTTACATACTCCTCGCCTCCGTTAGCTAAGAAAAATTTTGGATAGTTCAAGAGTTGTGTAGGAAGAATATATTTTTCTTCAACTTTATGACAGATACGATTAGAATGGTCAATTTTGCTAGTTTTATGATATAACGTCAAAAATTATTATTTTTCTTCAGATGATTTTTTAGATAAAAAGTTGTTTCTAAAAGCCGTGACACGATTCTTTCGCGAATCGACTTTTCAAAAAAACGACTCTTCCGTGAATGAAATGTGGTGGCAGTGAGCAGTGTGAGAGTGGGTGTGCAAAAAATTTCATTCGCGTAGAGTGAATTAGCAGAAAAGGCGTTCGCAGAACAGTTGCAGGACAGTCGCACAATTGATCATCAGCGTATGTAAATTAATCTGAATGACTTTTCTTCAATGCATCTTTATAATCTTACTTTTTTCTCTTTTCTTTTTTAAGTATCATCTTTAGCATGATTTTAACTCTCTGCATGCCTACATCTTGTTTTTGTTGCTTTTTATTTTTATTTCTTTTACTTATATTTTTTTTATTTTTACTCTTCTTGCTTTTTGAATGGATTCATTTCACTCTATAGTCGTGCCTACAATGACAGCACAGCTGTCGAGTGCAGACTTTTTCTTAAAAGTTTCGAATAAAGTTTAAATCAAGAGTTGGTATACCCTCTAAAGCGGTGTTATATCTACATCATCAGTACTTCACCAGATAACATATTTTTTCTAAAAAACGAAAGAAAAACTCTCCCTAGCATAGCCAAATGAATTCATCATTTTTCAGTAAATGACCTATCGGCTTGTCCACGTAACGCGACACTTCGCTGATCCAGTACTTTTTGAATTTTTTTTCTTCGGAAAATCGGTAGAGGTCCATCACTAGACACAGCTTTTCAAGCTGATCACGAACCTGACTTTTGTTTTCAAGAAAAAATTAATTTTCAATATAAAAATTTTTAAAAACTTTAATTTCAATTTTTTAACCTAGACATTTTGCTCAAAAAATTTTACAAACATACAATTGAATAGAGAATTCAATTCTCTACAAAATTGCACATTTTGTTTTGAGATCTATTCTTCAGTCTATACACAGTGGCTGCTTGAACGTTTCAACTTCCGCCTTGGTCTGTAAGCCACAGAGAATTTTTTGAACTTTATTTTGAACTGGAGTCTTTTCAGGCAATCCAGAACTACATAGACTATTAATATGAAGTTTTTTTGAATAACGTTAAGTGCCTGGAAATGGTGCGCCAAAAAAATGTGTCACAGGGTTACTTTAGTAAATTGGGTTTTATAAACAAAGTAAACGGTTCTGAAAAAAGTTCTTTTAGCAAAACTCTATAAACTTTGCTCGAGACACCTTTTATTAGCTCTTCTAAATTCGCAGGAATTTGCACTTTAATGAGGAGTATTTAGAACTTAGGGCCTCTTTGTGTCACAGCGTTACCGGTCTAAAAAGGCTTTCTGGAAGCTTGAGTCTTCAACCAAAAATCTTCGTTTTTATATTAAAATTAATCTTTTCGACTTATGTTACAACATGGAATATTCACAGCAGTTTTTTCTGATTTAGCACAGAAAACTGAATTACAATTAAAATTTTCTTTAAAAAGAACGTGGCACTCACGAGATGAAAATTTGAAATTTTTCGCCAACTAACTTTCTGTTCTTTCCCTTCGAGAACGTACTTGATCACTTGCTAAGTACTTGGAAAAATTGGCAAGTGTTTTCAAAATTTCTCACTTGCAATGTGCTTTCAAAAGTACTTCTCAATGATAAAAAATACTTGCTTTTATCGCTAAGAAGTACTTTGTGAAGTCCTTGGCAAGTAAGGGCTTTTTGGCACCCTAAACCGAATAAAGGCATATTTAAAAACCAAAATGCTTTTTCTGTTTGATTAAAAAACTAAGAAGTGGTTTTTAGAAGGAATCGAAGGGTTTTCTAGCTTTCATAAAAACCAGAAGGGTTTTTTCCTAAACGCATTTGGTTTAGCGAAACATCGTTCTTGGTTTTTCAAGTAGCGAAGGATTTTCCAGTTTGAGAAAAAATCAAAAGGGTTTTTCAAAAAGAGTTAATCGAACACCTTATATTTCGAAATCCAACAAACAGTTTATCTTATTGTCGGTGAACTCTTATGTAGCGATTTCTATGTAAAGAAAGAGTGAAAAAGAAAAAGTTTTAATACAAGATCTCTCAAAATAAAGTGTTTCTTAAAGTAACTGACATACTGATTTCACCATGTTTTTCGTAAGATTCTTACAAGAATTCGTAAGCTTCTGTAAGAAACATGGAAACTGACTCTTGATGTAATTTCTTATAGTAAGGTTCTTCGAGAACATAGTGCTTTAATTCTGCTTTGGAAAAGTTAAAAAACAGACATTAACTAAAAATAGGATTGAAATCAACAGCTGCTTGAAGAAGACAGGTTAGGACTGCTCGCCACTACCTATTTACATGAATACTATACTTATGCTTAGGAAAACGTGTCTTTGCGGACTTTGTAAATGCTGCATGTTTTAAAACGTGAGTTCAATTTATTTCACAACATTTAACATACGATAAAAAGATAAAAAATGAGACACAGAAAACGAAGACAACACGAGTATATATATCATAAGTACATGCGAGGTCACGTTGACAAAAAACAATAACACGTGACGTACTATGACGTGTGATGATATATGATCGAGAACCCTCCACGTGAACACCTTCCCCTTTAAGGTTGTCACATGGCTATATTTCGTATATCATCGAGCCGAGATTTTCTGTAATAGTTGCAGGTTGCCAGTTGGATCGTTTGTTTGGTTGGTTATTCATTGCCCATACGAGTTGTCCAATATAGTACTTCGTCTTATTCAGAATTGTTTTTGACAAATTCGGTTTCAGTCTGACCAATGCGGTCCGAATCGGACGTTGAGGCAGCATATTGGCAGGAGGAATGTCGGTTAAAGCGTGCGGAGTCCATCGATAGGTTCGTAGTACGTTCCTGAGTGCGACATTCCTGTTTCGTTGTCCAGCCTGTTGTCCTTTCATCATCCCTTCTTTGAATGAGCGAACAAAACGCTCTGCAAGTCCGTTGCTGGCCGGATGATAAGGTGCTGTTGTGATGTGTTCGATGCCGTACTTTTTGTAGAAATCTTTTACCTCGTAACTGCAGAATGATGGACCATTGTCTGAAACGAGTGTTTCCGGCGGACCGAGCCAATCAATTACTTGTTCAAGAACGTTATAAAGACTCTTTGCGGTTGTGCCGTCTCCCATGTCTACCGCGAATGGAAACTTTGGCTTTGCATCGACGATCACGAGCCATTTCGAACCCCAGAATGGTCCAGCGAAGTCCATGTGTGCTCGGGACCACACATGTTCCGGTCGAGTCCGAGTCACTTCATAGCGGCTTCGAGTCGAGTCACCAGTTTCAGAGTCAAGTGGAGTCGAGTCAAGATATTTTTGCCATTTTTTTCTAGCTTCTTATGTAGAAAAAAAAGAACAGTCCTTCATACAATAAAATGAGACAACTACTATAGATTTATCAACAAAATAAGAACAACACAGTAAAAAAAACATCATCTCATTAAAAGACCGCTTTGAGAAAACACACGTTCAACTGGTGCTGATGTAGCAGGAACACACATAATTTTTCTAGCAAGCTTATTAAGAGATTGATATGAATTTGCTCTTTTAAAAATAAGATCACTAGTCATATTTTCTTCTTTCAGAAAACCATAAAATTCGTCTAAAACTGATTTTGGTCTTAATAATAAAACAGATAATAAAACACGATCAGTTATCCATTGAAATTTAAAACGTCCATCTAAAACTAGACTCATCAAAAGAATTGGATCACTAAACACGATGTATTAGCATTTGTATTTATTGTCACTGTACAATTATCTGTTTCAATAAAGAAATGTTATAACACCATCAAAACGTGTTTTTAATGAAGAAATTAAAGAATCGCATAATAAGTATACACGTTAAGATTTTTCTTTTAAGTTCAAGACCACTTAATGGATTAAGAAGGATTGGTTCAACATCATTGAATGTATTTACTGGTTTATTTAAAACAGCAGTAACAGTCAAAAATTGAGTATTCGAACAACATTTTGTTGCACGTGGTATTGTTTTTGATAATTTTTCTAATTCTTCTGCAAATAAAACGCTGCTATGCCTACATTTTGCAATTTTTGCAACTTTTGTTAAGGCAGCAGTTGCATTAGATGCATGTTTAACACCATCATTGATAACCAATTGCAATCTGTGAGCAAAGCATGGTAAACGTAATAGTTCTAAATTTTCACTAACACATTTAATAATATCATCAGCTAATGGTACTAATTCAAAATGATCATTTGAATCATCATTACATGTTTCTTCACAATCATCATTATTATCTTGTGATAAGCTATTGTCCTCATTGTTACATTCATCGTTTTCAAAATATGATTCAAAACCAGGAAGTAAAATATCATAAATGCTTTTATATTATTTACTGCATTATCCGTAATTAACCGTACTAATTTTTTCTCAATATGATAATAATTAATCACTTTTTCAAACTCAGCTAATAAAACATCAGCTGTATTGATGACCTTTTAATGGTGCGAATGATAGTAAATATGATTTTAAATCATCATCAATAAATGTGTGCAATGTAATACCAATATAAGAACGTGATCGTCTATCAGTCCATATATCTAATGTGACTGAACATATCCAGCATTGTTACACAATGTTTTCAATTGTGTAACCATTTTGTCATGTAATTTCGGGAGTTTATCCCGAGTTATTTGTCGACGACTTAAAAGTGAATACATTGGATCAACTACATGCATAAAATTTTTAAAGCCATTTTGTTCTACCAGTGATAAAGATACACCAACATCAATTATTAAATCTTTTATTATGGATTCAGT